TGCAGTCTCAAAGCTGTACCTGAAGAATTAGTTTAGACATTTTAGATTTTTCTAAGCACATTCTCGGCATGTAAACATTAAAAAGGTGACTAGAACGACAAGCATGTGACCTTGTTTCAGAACAATTTGAGCTTCACAGGATGTTGTGCAACGGAAAACATTGGCCGCATGTCATTGACAGGAAGTAAGCAGTGAACATGTCCTACATATCCTTGGCATCTCTTGGCTAGCCCTCTCATCCTTCAGCATGCAAAGTGATTGTTACATGTCACATATACTCGAGACATCTTCCTCTTGTCAGCTTGTTTTCCAGTCAGTTCGTACATTAAAAAGGTCCTTGTATTCTGTTCTACAAAATTTCAATGCTTTTATCAATGTGATTACACAGTGACCCCAGAACATTTACAGTATAATTCAGATTACATTTAATGGGCCTTGATTGAAAATGTATACATTTTGTGATTATAGATATAGACAAAGCATGCCTTGTCTCAAAGTATTTGGAAATAGTTGCTTACTTCAACAGGTTGACAACACTAGTCATTGTAACCATTTTCATTCAGGTTGCCTTTATTTCATCATAGCTCGGGCAATGTTTTTGTAATCTGGCTGTCAATAGCCTACCATCATCACATGACAGGCTTTTCAAATGTCTCTACATCTGTAGTCCTCGGTGCATCCAGTAACCATTCTTGTATTGCTGTTTCTTGAGAAGTATTGGATGGATCTTTCTCAAATTTCATGTGTAGGTGGCCCTCATTTCCAAATTGTGTCCTTTTGATTTTAGGTCATCAGGGGAAAAAAACATGTGTTGCCAGACAACCATCTTGAAATTGGCAGTTTGAGGTTATTATCACTGTTTCTTAAGAGAATTGTACATAGAATTAAGAGCAGAGAAAAGAGGCAAAAAAAAACCAATTTTCAAAGAACTCAGTCACATGTTTGCAGCTTCTTCGCTGATGCAAGGAGAATTCTGTGTTTTTATCCAGAAGATGTTCAGTTTTCAGGGGTTTTCAATACATGTAAAATATCATATCTCCTAATCTCTTAGAATCATCAGAATATAGGCAGTGAAACATTTGTTGTTTTTCACAGGTCATTACTGAGCTGAAAGCTATCAAGGTTATATAAGGCTTAATATATTCATAGATTATTCAGGAGGGAAGTTCCTTGTGAGGAAGAAGGTCAAGTGAGGCCAGTTTGTTTGTTTACAGTAGAGAACTGTTGGTGTCTAGTACACTGATAGAAATACCACATTACATCTGAATAATATTTAAATATACTTTCCATTCTGATCATGAATATTCATCAACCAATGAAATTTTCTGGAGTTTGATTGGTGCTCTTCTAGGTTACAATACCACTGAGGAGACTTGTTATGTTGTGTTACTGACCCTGACCTTAAGATGTCCCCATGAGCTGGTTATAAGTACGGTAAATGTCCGTGAATCACACTAGACATATAAATAAAGCTATAATGTCATTATCATTTCAAACGAAATGATTTTTTTTCAGCTAGCTGTTTTGAATATAATATTATACTGTAATAATCAGGATTAGACATAAACAATGGAAAATATTTTTTTTTTATTTTTTTTTTTGCACTGTTGCTGGAATTTTTCAAAGGAAAGAAATATGTCTTACACTCTCATCTTTTGACTGAATTTGCTCTGGAAATAACTTTTGGAATTTGTGACAATTGCTTCTCTGTGATGTCAGGTTAACTGTTAACATGAAAGCCATCACACAGGACTTCAAGTGTAGTTTGGTCATTTTAAATTTGCAAAAATTTTGAAAGAATTATGTATCTTGTATTACATGTAATTCTGTTTTAACATGTATGATACACTCAAAATAGTCTCTACACACACACATATATATGTGTACCAGAGATTTATCAAATTACCTGAAAGCTTCAGTTTTTGTATGTATCTTTGAAGTTTCCATTTGTCAAAAGTTATCACATAGATATAAAGATATGTCTATTTTCATTAAAACCTTTAACAGAAGGTGTCAAACAGAGCACTAGCTGTAAAAAAAACTGTCTTTTAACTGACCTATATATTAAAGCCTTGAAGTAAATATTAGCATGAAGGATCAACGTGTAAGTGATTGTACAAAAGACACAAGTGAATAGCACCTTTAACAATTTACAATTAGATACCGTTAAGCTAGATAATGATTCAAACTGCAGCATACAATTGTTTCATCCTTCTGAGATTCCTAAGATATGATAAGGGTTTGACTTGTTGAAACCTTAAGGTGGCCATTGAGAAAATTATATGATAGGCCTCAAAGGTTCTTCTGGTTTATTTAGACACCTGTTTCAATATAAATCAATATAATTATCCATGAAAAGAGATGTTATAAAGTTATATCAAAAAGTAATAAAAAAAAATATACACAAAAGCGTTACATATGATTGAAGTATCTGATACTGTAAATACACATTTAGCTGGATGAGTTGACGACAAAATATTGGATTTGAAGTCAACTTTTTAAATTGACTGGTGACTAGATACACTGTAAATTAGTTTTGTTTGCGTTTCATCATTTTTGATTCTCACCCAGCAGTTGAAAGGTCAGTATTGAAATTGAATGATCATGTGTTTTTTTTAGGAAATAAAAAGCCAACTTTTAATTCAAATGTTTCATTGAATTGTAAGGCAATGAATAGATAAAATGAATCCGTTAAGGCTGTATGCACCTTCTCATGATTATGTGGCACCTTCAGAAAACAGAGATATCAATAACAATAACACATGACTGGTCATAATTAATCGGTTGATTATGTAGATCTAAACATACATAAGGATCTTTATGCATTCATAATTCTTGAGAAAGTCTTCATCCTGTTTACTGCAGTAGATGCATTAGGCAGGTTGAACTTCCCTTAATCATATACTGACACATTCTGTAATAAAGTGGGAGTGAATCTGTTATTACAAAGGGTGTGTTTTAATTGTGTCCTCTGTCTCTCATGATCTATTCAGCCGACCCGGATCTGGAATGACATTTTAGGACAGGTGTATTTCCATGACTGTAAAATAGTTTTGAACCTCGAGAATTAATATTGCTACTAAATAAAATTGTGCAATGATAACATACGCTTTGTGTTATGCTCAAATATTACAATCTGCAGGTATATGTTAAATTTCAGATGATAAGTGTAAAATTTGATGCCAAGACTTGTGCTGAATACATTTTGTTCCATACCAAGCTCAAAACTGCTGTAATTTATGATGTGGTTTACATTCTAATGTCAAAGACATTTGACTTCATTCATTATTTAGACATCCATAATAAAAATGCTTATTAGCTTGGTGACCTGTAAACAACATTTTATGAACCAGGATCTTGAGACATTGTTAATTTTTTGTATCCTAGGATACATCTGAATGACAGTTGCTTTTAGTTCTGTAGCAAAAAAACAAGCAGACATGTTTTAAATATAAAATTTACATAAACACCTGTCAAGATGAAAGAAAGGATTTCTGTGTGTTCATTTTCATTAAAACTGTTAATATCTGTATAGATGAACAAATGTACACACATATGTAGGTACATACAGATGTGCGTACCTATGCATGTATGTATTTGCATGCATAGGTGCATGCATGCCTACCTTCATCAATCCATCAGTCCGTACACCTGTTTGGCACCTATACAATTGATTAGGCTGCAAAACAATATGAAAACAAAATATTCAAATGAAACTTATGGAATTAAAGTAATGTTTTGACAAGTGTTTGTAATGAGTGATTGTGATGAATTCCATGGCTCAGGGCTGATGTATGCAATCATTTTCATGTTTTTAATATAACATGTGGCAGATTTTTTTTTTTTGGGTTATATTGAAATAAACTGGAGATTTTATCCTGATATTAATAATCTGGACATTGACTGCTTAATCCACTCAGTTCTGATTTCACCCTTGTGTAACAAAGATAAGATAGATATTGTTTTCACTGCAGTATGAAACATAACATTGAGATCAGGATTAAACAGAGTCGAGGAGAGCTACACTTACAGTAAGAGGCTTACTCTTCTGCAACCAATTGCTATCCTTCCTTTGTGAACCAAAATCTGCTTAATCAGCATTAGAACACATATTTTTGCAGAGCTTTTGCAGAAGAGTTGGAAAAATGATGACCTTGAGGTGTTACCACTAATACAAGTGCTGTTGTTCAATTTCTGCCTCTGATATTTGATTTGTGAATCCATGCTGCTGTTGATAATGAATACAAAGACATTGAAAAATTGTCATTAGTTCTCCATAGGCCTTTCGTGAACACCAATCTGTGTCAGTACTGTAAACATGGTGTTTATAACTAATCTCTGTAATTGAAGACCTTCTGGGTGTGTAATAATGAAAGTTCTAAAATATCTTTTAGCTGGATGATAGTTTATACACATTACTCAGCAGGTGCTTTTACTGTAGTGTAAACAAATTATTTTTTTTGTAAATGCTCAACGAATTTAACACACTTGGAAATTACTATATGGATACCAGTAGTTGATGTTAGGATTCAGCACACAGAATATTTTACATGTTTTTCTTACAAAAATGTTTATTTCCTTACAAGTCTGGTTCTTAAAGCCTCTATGTAAGTGGACAGATGGAAAAAAAATGTGTCAAAATGTCCAACTACATATCTAGATTAAAATTATCCCCCAATAATATTTACATTCATTGTTCAAGAAATTTACTACTTATGAAATCAATATTATCAGCGTTATTGATTCAGAAGATTAATGAACTTTGACCTTTAAAATGGTAACCTTTCCTGGATATTACAGGCAAGTTTAATTTGTAATGGTTTTATATCTGGATTTTCAGTGATATTCTTCTGTGATCAACATTGCCATGTTGTCTGTGAGTTTGATGGCTGCCAAGATTATTGATGAATCTATCCAGAAGTAGGCATTTGAATTTTGAAGAGAAATGAGTTTTTTTTGTTTTTTTTATGTTTTTTGATGAGTTGTTTGTTTTTTTACAGTTTCACCTTTAAAGTCATTTTCATCATCATCCGAGCCTAAATCTGCCCCACCTACTGTGACACGGCCGCCAACATTGTCCAACAATGACCACACACATGCTATTGTCTACAAAACAGATGGACACCATCATAAGGTGAGTGAGAAAGCGGCTATTTAACTTGTTAAACTGTTGAGGTAGAGAGGACTATAGTTTTGTGTTGTGTCCTTCTTTCTCTCATCCTTCCACTTTCTTCTGCTCTACTTCTCACTTCATTCTATTGGTATATGTTCACCTTGGTGAGGCTGTGTGTGATGTATCAAAAATAGGTCACTTGTTGACCTTCATTTTGACTTATAACCTACATCAAAGAAAAAGTTTTTCCAGACTACTATCTCTTACGCTACTTGTCAGTGGAACTTCTTACTTGGGGCATGGTTTCATTTGCAGTGCATTCTTGGTACATATTTTCACATTTAGTGGGGGACTATAATTTGAAATGTTTTCTTTGCATCTACCTTTTTTATCAAAACCTCAGAATACATGTCAATGATAGACAGGAATTGTATCTATTATTCTATAGATATTCATTGTCACTAAGAAATCTAAACACATCATATATTATAGATTATTTGGGACAGAATTTGGTAGATTGCAGATGTTTACATTCAAACAATCTTTAATATTTGACCAACCCTTTATTGTGAATGCCCTTTATAAGTCTGTGATTAGCTTGTCTCAATTTCTGTGTCACTTGAAGGTAAAGTTTATTTTGTGTATACTAAACAGTCAGGTAAATGTGCCTATATACATTTGTATGACAGAATGGAAAGGACAAGAAACACCAGACACAGTTGTAGGTTGAATTTTTCCAGAGGGTTATTAGATATATCAATTGTTTGTCTATTTAAAATTCAAAATTTGGTAGATAAATATCAGAATGTCTATGTCAAAATTATTATGAGATAGCTGGAAGCTTCAGAAGTCTTCATGCTTGAAAAATCACTTTAACAAACAGGTATAATGGACAGTACTATACTACTGCCCTATACTATTAGACAGTACTATACTACTGCCCTATACTATTAGACAGTACTATACTACTGCCCTGTAATATTGGATAGAACTATACTACTGCCCTGTATTACTTAACAGTACTATACTACTGCCCTGTATTACTTAACAGTACTATACTGCTGCCCTGTATTACTTAACAGTACTATACTACTGCCTTACGTAACAGTACTATACTACTGCCCTGTATTACTTAACAGTACTATACTACTGCCCTGTATTACTTAACAGTACTATACTGCTGTCCTGTATTACTTAACAGTACTATACTGCTGCCCTGTATTACTTAACAGTACTATACTACTGCCCTGTAATATTGGACAGTACTATACTGCTGCCCTGTATTACTTAACAGTACTATACTACTGCCCTGTAATATTGGACAGTACTATACTACTGCCCTGTAATATTGGACAGTACTATACTGCTGTCCTGTATTACTTAACAGTACTATACTGCTGCCCTGTATTACTTAACAGTACTATACTATACTGTCCTGTATTACTTAACAGTAATATACTACTGCCCTGTATTACTTAACAGTACTATACTGCTGCCCTGTATTACTTAACAGTACTATACTACTGCCCTGTATTACTTAACAGTACTATACTACTGCCCTGTACTGTTAGACAGTACTATACTACTGCCCTGTATTACTTAACAGTACTATACTGCTGCCCTGTATTACTTAACAGTACTATACTACTGCCCTGTATTACTTAACAGTACTATACTACTGCCCTGTATTACTTAACAGTACTATACTACTGCCCTGTAATATTGGACAGTACTATACTACTGCCCTGTATTACTTAACAGTACTATACTACTGCCCTGTAATATTGGACAGTACTATACTACTGCCCTGTAATATTGGACAGTACTATACTACTGCCCTGTAATATTGGACAGTACTATACTACTGCCCTGTAATATTGGATAGTACTATACTACTGCCCTGTATTACTTAACAGTACTATACTACTGCCCTGTACTGTTAGACAGTACTATACTACTGCCCTGTATTACTTAACAGTACTATACTACTGCCCTGTATTACTTAACAGTACTATACTACTGCCCTGTATTACTTAACAGTACTATACTGCTGCCCTGTATTACTTAACAGTACTATACTACTGCCCTGTATTACTTAACAGTACTATACTACTGCCCTGTATTACTTAACAGTACTATACTACTGCCCTGTATTACTTAACAGTACTATACTACTGCCCTGTATTACTTAACAGTACTATACTGCTGCCCTATATTACTTAACAGTACTATACTACTGCCCTGTATTACTTAACAGTACTATACTACTGCCCTGTATTACTTAACAGTACTATACTACTGCCCTGTATTACTTAACAGTACTATACTGCTGCCCTGTAATATTGGACAGTACTATACTACTGCCCTGTAATATTGGACAGTACTATATTACTGCCCTATAATATTGGACAGTACTACACTACTGCCCTGTAATATTGGACAGTACTATATTACTGCCCTGTAATATTGGATAGTACTATACTACTGCCCTGTAATATTGGACAGTACTATACTACTGCCCTGTAATATTGGACAGTACTATACTACTGCCCTGTATTACTTAACAGTACTATGCTACTGCCCTGTAATATTGGACAGTACTATACTACTGCCCTGTAATATTGGATAGTACTATACTACTGCCCTGTATTACTTAACAGTACTATACTACTGCCCTGTAATATTGGATAGTACTATACTACTGCCCTGTAATATTGGATAGTACTATACTACTGCCCTGTAATATTGGACAGTACTATACTACTGCCCTGTAATATTGGATAGTACTATATATTACTGCCCTGTATTATTAACAGTACTATACTACTGCCCTGTAATATTGGCCCTGTAATATTGTAGTACTATACTACTGCCCTGTATTACTTATACTAACAGTATTACTTAACAGTACTGCTGTCCTGTATTACTTAACAGTACTATACCACTGCCCTGTATTACTTAACAGTACTCTACTACTGCCCTGTATTACTTACCAGTCTAATGGAAACCTTGTTTAATGGAAGAATGTGTTGTTGGGTTTTTTTTTAAGAGAAAAAACACTCACTTGTCTTCATTTTTCCCCCTTTACCCTCTTCAACTTATTTTTCTGATGTCTCAAACATGAACATGATACATTTTAATGGCCAGAGAATAACTTAATAGGTTATTCATCAACAAACTTATACCTAGACATCCAAGGTGAAGGTCATTGTTAAGGTTTTTCTTTCTCCATTAAAAAATTCAAGGATAAAATAGAGTTAACAGAAAATTGTCCTATAAGGTATGGCCTTTCCTTGGTTGGATCATCATGTTTATGTATTTATAGAAAATGTCACTGTTTTTGATAATATCTTCATCTCTCTTACACTAAAGAATCCAATGTTTCCTATGGGCTCAAATGTTGTGGTTTTCCAAAATCATACATTTTCATTGACACTTGATTTAATGTTAAATCTTGCTAATGAAATCCACTGTTTCTCTTATATGTGTCAATGTCAGCCTTAATCTAATTATCTTTTGGTGGAGATATATTATCAGATTTAGAGTGCCCACAAATTAGATGAAAATAAATCCCCCTTGGAAATGACTGATTTTACAGAATACAGCTATAAAAGTGGTAGTCAGCAGTGGAGGTTTGATACCTACACCCTGTGTCTCAAAGGAACAATGGTCTCAGACGTAGTACACCATTATCAAACATATATAGATTTGATAGTAATGATGTAGTACACCATTATCAAACATATATAGATTTGATAGTAAAGATGTAGTACACCATTATCAAACATATATATATTTGATAGTAAAGATGTAGTACACCATTATCAAACATATATAGATTTGATAGTAAAGATGTAGTACACCATTATCAAACATATATATATTTGATAGTAAAGATGTAGCACACCATTTTCAAACATATATATATTTGATAGTAAAGATGTAGTACACCATTATCAAACATATATATATTTGATAGTAAAGATGTAGTACACCATTATCAAACATATATATATTTGATAGTAAAGATGTAGTACACCATTATCAAACATATATATATTTGATAGTAAAGATGTAGTACACCATTATCAAACGTATATATATTTGATAGTAAAGATGTAGCACACCATTATCAAACATATATATATTTGATAGTAAAGATGTAGTACACCATTATCAAACATATATATATTTGATAGTAAAGATGTAGTACACCATTATCAAACATATATATATTTGATAGTAATGATGCATGAATTGTTCAGACATTTTATTTCACCTATCATTGTGATGTATATTTATAGAAATATTCTGTTCTTCTTTCAGCTACTGGACTCCACAGAAAAAATGGAGATTGAAGACTTAGGTAAGACATTTTAAGACACCCCAACTCAAGTAAAGCACTATATCTTAACTCAGGTGAGACACTATGATAGTCACCCAACTCAGGTGAGACAATATGATACACCAATTTCCAGTGAGACACTATGATACACCCAACTCAGGTGAGACAATATGATACACCAATTTCCAGTGAGACTGTATGATACACCCAACTCAGGTGAGACAATATGGTACACCAATTTCCAGTGAGACACTAGGATAGTCACCCAACTCAGGTGAGACAATATGATACACCAATTTCCAGTGAGACTCTATGATACACCCAACTCAGGTGAGACAATATGATACACCAATTTCCAGTGAGACACTAGGATAGTCACCCAACTCAGGTGAGACAATATGATACACCAATTTCCAGTGAGACACTATGATACACCCAACTCAGGTGAGACAATATGATACACCAATTTCCAGTGAGACGCTATGATACACCCAACTCAGGTGAGACAATATGATACACCAATTTCCAGTGAGACACTATGATACACCCAACTCAGGTGAGACAATATGATACACCAATTTCCAGTGAGACACTATGATACACCCAACTCAGGTGAGACAATATGATACACCAATTTCCAGTGAGACACTATGATACACCCAACTCAGGTGAGACAATATGATACACCAATTTCCAGTGAGACACTATGATACACCCAACTCAGGTGAGACAATATGATACACCAATTTCCAGTGAGACACTATGATACACCCAACTCAGGTGAGACAATATGATACACCAATTTCCAGTGAGACACTATGATACACCCAACTCAGGTGAGACAATATGATACACCAATTTCCAGTGAGACACTAGGATAGTCACCCAACTCAGGTGAGACAATATGATACACCAATTTCCAGTGAGACGCTATGATACACCCAACTCAGGTGAGACAATATGATACACCAATTTCCAGTGAGACACTATGATACACCCAACTCAGGTGAGACAATATGGTACACCAATTTCCAGTGAGACACTAGGATAGTCACCCAACTCAGGTGAGACAATATGATACACCAATTTCCAGTGAGACACTATGATACACCCAACTCGGGTGAGACAATATGATACACCAATTTCCAGTGAGACACTATGATACACCCAACTCAGGTGAGACAATATGATACACCAATTTCCAGTGAGACACTATGATACACCCAACTCAGGTGAGACAATATGATACACCAATTTCCAGTGAGACACTATGATACACCCAACTCAGGTGAGACAATATGATACACCAATTTCCAGTGAGACACTATGATACACCCAACTCAGGTGAGACAATATGATACACCAATTTCCAGTGAGACACTATGATACACCCAACTCAGGTGAGACAATATGATACACCAATTTCCAGTGAGACACTATGATACACCCAACTCAGGTGAGACAATATGATACACCAATTTCCAGTGAGACACTATGATACACCCAACTCAGGTGAGACAATATGATACACCAATTTCCAGTGAGACGCTCCAGTGAGACACTATGATACACCCAACTCAGGTGAGACAATATGATACACCAATTTCCAGTGAGACACTATGATACACCCAACTCAGGTGAGACAATATGATACACCAATTTCCAGTGAGACACTATGATACACCCAACTCGGGTGAGACAATATGGTACACCAATTTCCAGTGAGACACTATGATACACCCAACTCGGGTGAGACAATATGGTACACCAATTTCCAGTGAGACACTATGATACACCCAACTCGGGTGAGACAATATGATACACCAATTTCCAGTGAGACACTATGATACACCCAACTGAGGTGAGACAATAGACAATATGATACACCAATTTTTCCAGTGAGACGCTATGATACACCCAACTCGGGTGAGACAATATGATACACCAATTTCCAGTGAGACGCTATGATACACCCAACTCGGGTGAGACAATATGATACACCAATTTCCAGTGAGACACTATGATACACCCAACTCAGGTGAGACAATATGATACACCAATTTCCAGTGAGACACTATGATACACCCAACTCGGGTGAGACAATATGATACACCAATTTCCAGTGAGACGCTATGATACACCCAACTCGGGTGAGACAATATGATACACCAATTTCCAGTGAGACGCTATGATACACCCAACTCAGTTGAGACAATATGATACACCAATTTCCAGTGAGACTCACCCAGTGAGACACACCAATTTCCAGTGATATGATACACCCAACTCAGGTGAGACAATATGATACACCAATTTCCAGTGAGACGCTATGATACACCCAACTCAGGTGAGACAATATGATACACCAATTTCCAGTGAGACGCTATGATACACCCAACTCAGGTGAGACAATATGATACACCAATTTCCAGTGAGACGCTATGATACACCCAACTCAGGTGAGACAATATGATACACCAATTTCCAGTGAGACGCTATGATACACCCAACTCGGGTAAGACAATATGGTACACCAATTTCCAGTGAGACACTATGATACACCCAACTCGGGTAAGACACTAATATACCTGACTCAGAAAGAGGTAGAGATCAGATAATAGAATTACTGTGATTAGAGAACGAGACTAAATTACCCTACAGACAGTTGAAATTAATTAGCTTAGGTACTTCTCATTTGATATCTTGGTGACATTTTGACAATTCTGCTGAAGCCTAGGATAGAGTACATTGTTGTTAAGTCTGCCTGCTGGTAACGATACAATGATTGACTGTGTTATGGTACCTAGCAAGCATGACTTGTTCAGGTTTTACTGTTGTTCTCTGTCAAGTAATTACCCAGTAGCATCATAAAAATTGGTGTCGTTGGCTTTAAGGCAAAGTCAAAAAAGACATACAATTCAACCTGTGTCTTTGGCTTTAAGGCAAAGTCAAAAGAGATATACGTTACCAATCTGTGTCAATGGCTTTAAGGCCAAGTCAAAAGAGACATACAACTCAATGTTCAGCTCTCAAATAATCATACTAGGAAAATTAGTACTACTACTAGTGAAACATTTCATTTTGCAAAGCAAAAACAACATTTCACACTTAAAAAAATAAATGATTGAATAGAACAATCTCACAAACAAATGTACTTCTGAAAGGTACAATATTTACCAGGGAAAGAGGAAAATAGATATTTTCTGATTGTAATTTTCAAAAGATTGATTCAAAATGCAACTGTGCAAAGAAATTTCTCTTGTGATTCTGCCCCACTGAAACAAATCACCAATCTTTCTATTACATTAATTATATATATTACAGATGCTTGTAGATAAGGTACTACTACCACATAAAGGTCCTGCTTCATCAGAGAAGATTGTTCAAAGTAGATGGCTAATTAAGATTAATTAATTGAGTCAATCATTATTTGTGGTAACGCTTTTGTCAGCCTGTTTAATCTTGTATAAACCACTCACGTCTATAGACATTACCAGGAAGAGGTCATCACTTTTTCTTCTCATTAATTGTCTATATACTGGGAAGATGCCACCAATGTGATTTAGAATGGCCGTTAGCTATACCTCATTCCCGCAAGCGCTCAGGATATATCTGACAGATCAATATTTATTTCTGGTCGCCGGTATATATGTTAGTCTGTTTTCATAGAATTATTTTTTTCCGCGTCTACAGTCGATCAAATTAGTACCACAGGTGTTAAGAAGGGTATTCTGTAATTAGATATATTTTGGAGTCTGTGTTCTTTCCTTACCATCATCCCACAACATGGATATGCTCAACACTAGATGTGTCTGTTGAATTGTACCCCCATGAAACCTAACCCCTAGACCCTAGTAAAACATTTTCTGACTACTCGACAAAAGATTTCATTATTTTGGTTGAAACTGATACGATAAAAAAAATAAATCAAAATCAAACAAAGCTTGGTTTTCAAAAATTGGATATTTGTATTTAATTTGATATTTAAATCATAAATACAGGAAAGAGAGAAAATACTGATGTACTTGTTTGATTAAGCGCCCTCTTTGTTACCAGCAGACACTAAGAGAATCACCCAAAATTTGATCCACGCTTTATTTTATTGTTTGACATTATCAGGTTCAGGAAAATGTTTGTGTCTCAATCACAAAGATCTAGGGACTTTATCGGTAACTAATATTTTATTGGAACATTACAGGCGTATTGTTCAACAATGAGTTGAAATTTATATGTCCACAAAATGATAATAGTTGAAATTGACATTAATTTCAATATTTCATAATTTTTTGAACGAGTAGCATTTATCCACAAAATCAATTGCCAACTAATCAGTAGATTTTGAAAAATCATGAAATTTCAGCTGCATAAAGATGTCTGATTTTGTAGTATATAATGTGCTTACTGTAATCTTGTCAGTCTGAGATGGCAGGTTTTGACTGGTTCACCAAGATATTCTTGGAAAATTGCCGACTCGGGGTTCTGTATAGGTGGTTGGATCTTTGTTAATTGGCTGAATTGTTTGGACACCAGTTTAAACTTTAAATTCTAGTTAGAAACATGAATTTTGCCAGCTTTGACACTTCCAACCAGTCAACCACTGCTTTCATTCTCATGGTCAATGAAGGTATATCTTTCAGTAAGTAAATCTACCGCTTAGTTTCAAAGCCACATATAATTATATTGTATCCAGTAAAATGGCCTCCACTTTAAAGAATTTCTTCAAGAATACTGTTTTTTGGAAGCTCTGATTGTGAGTTGTTCATGAGGAAATTACAGTGAATAAAACACTTTACAAAACAGACATTCTAATAGACATTTATATTACGAATGGTTCGCGATTTATAAAACAGAAAAAAACCCAAAAATAAATGAAATGCATAAGGTACATTGAACTTAAGGTTAACGGACTCTTCATTTGTAGGTGATGTGTAAAATGATGTTAAATGTCATAGCTATGATACAGAATTTAAATGTATTTGTAAAAGTATATACAACACTAGTCAAAACCTAAACCAAAACTG